GTTATGTGTTGTTGTGCGTCGGCGTGTCGGTCTCTGACCTTCAGGGTCCAGCAGCTTGGTGAGGCCCAGGTGCTGCTCGGCCTGATTGAAGGCATTCTGTAGATTGTAGTGAGCGTTTGATTTCTTCAGCTTATCAAAGTCGATCAAGTCGGGTCTGAAAACATTAACCAGGAAAAAATGTCATTTTTTTAAATAAAAGAGAATAAAGACAAACATTTAAACATTTTCTGTTTAAAAACATTTTAAACTGAGGAGCTGCAGAATAGCTGACATTATGAAAGCAATGCGATTCTCTGCAAACCTACAACTAGAATGATCCCTGAACGCCTCACATGCAGAATTTAGAGGCTGATCATTTAAGACTGTCAGAGTTTCTCTGGCCTTCATGTCCAAACCTGATGGGCGCATTTATGAAGGAAAAGGACAAAAAGGCTCAGATTGTCTGATAGGAACAGAAATAATACATGACTTTATAATTTGAACTACATGCAAACCAAAAATAGAAAACAGAGTTTAACTCTGTTAGTTCTGAAAAAACTAGAAGATCTAATAAAAGCCTTTGGATCAAACAGAGAACATTTTTCCATTTAGGTCTGAATGTGAGGAAAATCACATCAACACATTCCAAACATTTTCTGCTTCTTCTGAAGCTTCGCAGTAAAACAATCAGCCTTATTCAGCTTTTCATCCATTTCAACTCAGAAAAACAGCCGAGTGTCATGGAGGAGCAGATTATTCCCAGAGATTAAATACACCACTTTAAGAAAAACTGACAAAAAAACAAGGATAAGGGCAGAAATGAGGAATACGGGTTCAACATGGAAGGATACTATGGATTAGTAGGGATATTAATCTAAATAAAGGGGATTTATTGATTCTTTAATATTATAGCCATGTTTTATTAAATACATTCTATTGCTTCATTCAAACATTGATCCATTTATCCTGCTGGTTTAATGTTTCTTCATTATTTTATAAAAGCTGCCTTCTGTAATAAGCTGCATGTGAGAAAAACACCTTCAAATTACAGATGAACAGAAATATACTGGAAAAAAATAGAAATTTGAATAAGTCAATTTTTCTTAAATTAAGTGAATTTGTTCTTGAATTGAGGAGGTGAGACATTTTGCCAACGGAACAAGACAATTTACATTTAAAATAATAAAAAAAAAACAATTGCATTGTCTTATTTCAAGTGCATATTATCTAATTATCTTATTTGAAGAGTAAAAATACTCATTCTATTGGAAAATCATCTCATTTGCCTGCTCAAATTAAGGGTAAATAAACTTTATTCAAGATTTTTCTTCTAATTTCTAGATTGTTTTTGCAGCGTTAACAAATCTCTGGAAAAAATTGAAATCTAGATAAGTCATCTTATCTTAAAATGATTGCATTTGATCTTGAATTGAGGAGGTAAAAGAGACATTTTGCCAATGGAACAAGACAATTTACACTTAAAATAAGAAAACACAATCGCATTGTCTTATTTCAAGAAAATATCATCTAATCATCTTATTTTAAGAGTAAAAATACTCATTCCATTGGTAAACTATCTCATTTACCAACTCAAATTAAGAGTAAATAAACTTAATTTAGGACATTTTTACTTTTTTCTAGATTGTTTTTCTAGTGTAGATCAATGTCAACAGAATACATAAACTTTTTTAATTAAAAACTGTTTTATGATCAGTTTTTGGGACAATTTCAACAAATAAAATAGAAACAAGAAACTATAGGAATAAAAAAAAAAGAAATAAAGTTGAACTAATCGATTAAAATAAAAAAATCAAACTTAAAAAAGTTAAATTTAGCTGAGAATTCACTGCTTGTTGTATTTTATTCCTACAGCTTCACTGATGATGATAAGGATGATGATGATGATGAGGATGATGAGGTCCTACCTGTGCTTGTGGATCAGGGCGTTGAAGGCCATCCCGTCCCTCCAGCTGGTGGTGAAGTTGTGGATGTTGACGTTGGGATACCTGAGCAGGAGATCATGCAGGTTTACAGACATCACTTTATAATAAATCACATTTCAGAGGCAAGAAATTAGAAAATAAACACATTAGGAAAACA